GCGCCACCTACTGGATCATGTTGATGTAGGTCTCCACATTCATCATGTCTCCGTCTCTCCAGTCGTTCTTGAAGCCCAGCACCAGCGTGTTTGGTCTGAGGCGACCCAATCCAGCAGCCTAGACAAGAAAAATGTAGCATTGCTCATCATAACCATCATCCTCACTCTGGATAAAAACAGCTGCTGAACAAACCAAACGCAGCCTAAAGCTCTAAGTGACATGTGAGTGCGCCGGTTTCAGGAACTAGACGTGAGCCACATCAGAGTTGAGCTTCAGACAGCAGGATATGGAGTCTTTCCTGAAATTTGGACGTCTCACCCTGACTGGATAACAGCAACACGACTCTACCACTGACTCCATTTGCTCTGCAACGCTGATGTTTCATCTCCACAAAATACACAAGTCTGGAGGAGTTCTGCTGTGTGGTGTAGTTGCCAATGCTAACAGGTAGCTCCTACTAACCGAGACGTGCTCTGGTCTCTCCTGGACGGTGAAACTGAGCCAGCGAGTGCATGAATGTTCATTTTCAGTGTGATGTAGATCTGAGAGGCTGTCTAATCCGAGCGTTTCTTCATCTATTCTCTATCGACGGCTAATGCAGGAAATAGTTTTATGTCTTTCACATTTAGCCTAAATGTTAAACTCAGAGTGACCCATCATAATTCATAAATAACAAGTAAAAGACTGTTTCTCAGTGAACTTGGTCTTTAATGAACATGCTGCTGCTGCCGCTGCTCTGGGGTCTGATGAGGATCACAATAATGATGACGATGTTCTTCCAGGGCAGAAGAAGGCCCTGTAGAACTGGACCTGGACAGTATACACAAACAGATGTTCTAGGGCTTGGCGGGATCCCATGACATTTCCGCGGAAACCTTAGAACATGTTGAGGCAGGAAAAAGTAAAGGTAAACACGTCTTGTTGCCATGGCTACAGCACTGCTAGGAGCCAACCGCGTGACGCTGATACCAACAGAGCTCAGAGCGGGTTTCCTACCTGGAGCAGATACAGAGAGCCCTGTCTCAGGTCCTCAGCAAACACCGGTGTATAGAAAGCCTTGGTCTCATTCTTCATCAGCCAGCGCTGGTACCGGGTCTGGTCTATGGCCAGGTCTTTGAAGTTAGGCTTCCTGTATCCCTGTAGGGAAACAAAAATCTGGTTTTGTCTGTGGCGGGTAAAGGTCTGCTCGTCTCTGATCAGTGGTTCTGGCCCCACCAAGCAGACATCTGAGCTCTTAATCCAAGTCAGATGGTTACCTCTTTAGGCCAGGTTCTACTACTTCTGACCCACTTACCACAACATTCTGTCTCAGGGAGAAACTACCAGGATGTTTGTAATCCCATTCTGACACATGCCATCTATAATCTAACGTGGTGGTTTTACTAGTCTAAGCCTTTTAAAACCACGCCTGGACCCGCTCTGCCCAGAAACAGAAAGATGGAAAGGTTACTCCATGTAAACTGCAAGCACCTTCCCAGTCCAAATGGAGAAAGCAGCAGAAGCAGGAGAGCAGATCAGAGGCCACTTGAGGAGGACAACATGTTCCACTGAGCTGGAGAGCTGCTGATGCTGCCAGGAGAGGCGTACAGAGGCTGCATTCATCCACAGCACGCTCTGCTGACTGGGAACACTGGAGCCCAGCAGGGGACAGAGAAAGCTTTCTACACTTACTGTCTGGAGTCAGTTTAACAACAAGACACACTGGTCACAACAAGAAGAAAACATTTTGGTCTATAGACAGGAACATTCAGCTACAAGCAACAGATCAAATCTCCTCAAGATGGAGGAAACGGTAGAGGTGGTGCCATCAGTTCTCATCTGGGTACCGAGCAGCTGCAGCTTCAGCCAGCACTTTGGTTCTTCTAGGTCACCACCATCTTTAGATCATTAGGTCTATGAGTTATCTTAAGGGCGTCCGAGGACATGAGGACGTTCGTCCACACCGACACAGATCCACTTGTCTTTCATGTTTAAGCGTAGCCAGAGCTCAAGTTGGGTTCAACTAAGAATTTCAAGTTCTGACGATGAGAGACATGAACTGGACCAGAGTCCAGTTCAGCCAGATCATCTATCCATCCACCATCGATACTTCATCTTCTACAAAATCTTACTTTCTATTCATGCTTTCCCGTCTAAAGATCTGCAGATTCGATCACGTAATCTACAATCAACACAAATCAACTATCTGAAGATGAATTCTGACATAAAATAATCAAACATATTTACAATCAAATTTTCTATAATACTTTAACCATTTAAACATCCTCAAATAAAAACGTTCCAATTCTTCTAGCTCTGTACTTTACGTTGTGACTACTGAACATGCTTCAACTAAGATCACTCATCTGTGTGAACTGGTCCTTACGGGGGTGAACTTTCACAACTAACGGCTCAGGGATTATGGTCCCTGTGGAGAAACTCCGTCCTCAGTCCAGGTCCAACAGCTGGGGTAACAACCAGGCAGCCTAACCAGCTAAAACCTGTTATAACCTGACCAACTACAACCAGGTGACACCAGGATTGAGGGTTTTTGCAGACTTGCTGGTGAAACAGATCGTGTGTTTTCGTCTGTAGTAAAGATCGACCGGTATGGTTTTTATATTGCTAGTGCAGACATGAGCTACCATATTTTTATGTTAAAATGTCACCAACAACAACAGGATGCACAATATTTCTGAACTTAATCTGGATTTAACCAACTGTTGGATCTTCATTTTGTGGTCAGCATTAAGATCAAACATCTAAGTAAAATTAATCAATCACATCAATAAACTGACCAATAAAACAGGTGAATAAAAAGAAATGTACGCTTACAAATATGTCATGGTGCCCTTTTTTGAACAGATCGTGTTCACATCTAAATAAAATTAATATTACAGAGGAAGTATTGAGTATAACTATAAACTAACTGGAACATCATCTGTGCAAAATGTGACAACCAATTTGATTTAAGTTAGGCCGGTCGTGCCCAAAAAATAAAAACACCTCAAAAACCAAACCTGGGATCTGTCATACTTTGACATCTGGAGAAAGAGAAGTCTCTGGTGAGTTTGAAGCATGGTGTGTAAAAGGTGCGTCATTAAAGAGTAAAAATCATGCAAATGTCCAATTTTACATTTTAATACCAATCGCCGATAAAATCAGACATCTGAAATAAAAACAGAATTTTTATTGTTACTTATAACTTTTAACAAAATCTTCATTTAAACTGTAAATGAAACTTTTTAGCAGCTGCATCATAGCAACAAACCACTCATTTCTAATCGTGGATGTTGAGAAATCCCATCTGGAGATCCACAGATGTGCCTGATTTTAAATCAGCTAAAGTACAGAAGTCGATGCGGTTATAGAAAATGGTAAACATCGGCTAGGGCACATATGTCAGACTCGCCAGATGCGGCCCGCGGAGCATTTTTATGTGGCCCGCGAGATAAATATCAAAAATATATTAAAACTGGCCCGCTGGCCGATTTTACCGCAAAGACTTCAACTCCCATGATGCTTTGCGGCGTCAGCGCGGAGCCGACGCGCCCCCTCCTTTGTGTTTTTTCCAGCGCCTGCTGCCGGTGTCTGCAGCTCCGCTGTCTCGGACAAACTAAACACTCCTCTCACTCAGCGCCGAGTTCACTCAGCTGTTTTCTGACGTTGAAGCCCAGAAACGGAGATTCTAGCCGCTCAGTAATGTGTTCACGACTGAAAGAGAAAGTTTTCCAACTAACTTCCAGACAGAGCTGATATAACTCCAGCGAGCAGCGACACGCTCAAACCAGCACGGCTCTGTGGCTGCTGTCGTTGTGTTTCCTCCCCGACACACAACAACGTGGTCAAGCTGCTCAGACATGTTCATCAGCACAAACCTATGTGAGCACCTGTTGTCCTCTAATGTTGTCATTATTATGATGAAGATGAACAAAACAACAGGAGTCTCCTCCTCAGCTCAGATCAGATCAACCCCATGATGCAGGTATCTGGCTGGAACAGGTGAGCATCACAGTAAACCAGTGGAGCAAACTGAGCTTTAAATATGTTGGCTTTATGCTCTTTTCCTGCTCCAAAACATGAAACAGGTGAGATGTTGCATTTTCATTTAAGATAAAATGATATTTTTATTTTGTTGTTGGCCCGTGAGAAAAGATTTAACCTACAGTAAACAGGAAGTGGAAAGGCTGCAGATAGATGAATAGAATAGAAAATCCCTTTATTGTTCGTCAGTGGGGAAAGCTAGACGTCACAGCAGTGATGACACTTATTACAGGAGAAAAAAAGGAGAATAAAAAATAAGAAAAATGAATAAACAAGAAAACATAAATCCTGAATAGATTTTAAAAATGCTGAATATACCACAAGTAATGAATACCACTGATGCCTTTTACTTAAAACCGACTTGCTCGTGTGTAATTTGGTTATTCCACATTCAGTGTTAATGCAGAAATAAGTTTGTTTCCAAATTTAAAGGTTCAAAATTGCATATATGTTGATAAAGAAAACATGCAAATTTGCCGTCACTTTTTCAAAAAATATTAAGTTTGGCCCTCGACTCCGTCCCAGAGTTTCATTTCGGCCCTGTGTGAGTTTGACACCCCTGGGCTAGAGTCATCGATCTATCTCTAGTCTAAAGACCTCAGAGCTGAAAGAGTTTTTTCTCGGATCAACATGGCTGCTGAGCCTTGATTCATTTCTCTAGAAAAGTACAGAGAGCAAAGCGAGTGCTCACCGTGCGAACATGACCACAGATCATCAGGCCGACGTTTTTAGTGAAGGAGTGGACCAGATCCAGAAGGGCCGGTCGAGAGTTGGGGTAACCAGTCATCACCAAACATTGGGGCCTAAATGAAAACAGTAGATTAGTTTCACATGATACAAATCTATAGGACTGCACTCCTGTCGTGGAACCTCAGGATTAGGAACCATTAATCTGCAGAGCATCTTCTAGACTTCCATACTGAACCCGTCACATCAGGAGCAGAGCAGCTGACTTCAAAGCCGAGGAATTTAATGGAAGTGATGTTAAGAGAGAAGAAAGAGCGTAGAGAAAAACAAGTGATCCTAGAGTCAGATGACTTTTAATCCCTGCTCGGTTTACTGCCATGGGAACAGTCTGGAGACACACCAATAAGTCCTCCAGGTCAGCACTGGACACCGCTGCTTCTACGACCCTGAGGTTTCAACACAACATAAATAAAATCAATGAGCCCTCACTGGGTCGTCCTCCGATCAGGTAAACATAAATAAACACCACACGCAACATTTCACCGTCCACTTTTTTCCCCTCAAAAAACAAAACAAGATGTGGAAGGACGTCAAATAAATTCTCTCCAAGTCTCCACGGGAACCAACAGGGTAAGTAGCTGCTGATAATTACATCCAGAAGCAGTTGGTCGGTCTGGAGAATCTGGGCGTGTGTTAACAACCGTCACTCCAGCTAGATTCCTCCAATGGCTTTGGATCGTTCACAAGGCTGAGTCCCACGGCAGTCCGGGCTTTCACAATACACTAGAGGATTCTGGAACTGTGCTGCTCTGGGTGGCTGCATGTTGGAGTAGCTCTGTTGACTATATGTAAGTTTTGCATTTTCTTGGGCATTTTTTCTTCTAGTTTCTCAAGAAAAACTGTATTTTTTGGACACTTTACTATTCTGTTTGTGGTGCTGTGAAGCTTGGAGGATTTTTACTGCAATTTTTTTTTTTAGCTTTTTTCACTTTTTGAGCATTTGTTATGATGCGTAACCATGGAAACAAGCTGGTTTACAATCGGGAGCAGCTGATTAACATTGGAAAGGCTGAAATAATACCTCAACTGAAGCCACAAATCCCAAATGAGATCAAATGCAAGAAGCATGGGTGCAGAGCGAGAGCAAAATGGAGACAGGGAAAGAGGAAATTCAAACCATCTCTTCCATCGATCATAATGGGCAATGTGAAGTCACTGGCCAACAAGATGGAGGAACTCCAAGCCCTTTCAAGGACTCAGCCTGAGTTTCGGCAGTTTCGGAATCGCTGGAGGAGATAATGCAAAGAAGGATTCGCCAGAGAATCAAGAAAATTATGGACAACCCTGAGCATTCTCTTCACAAGACTGTCCGACAACGGAGGAGTGTCTTCGGTCAGAGGCTTCTTCAGTTTGGCTGCAACACTGACTGCTACTGGAGATCCTTCCTGCCAACAGCCATTGTAATATACAATAACTCTTTAATGACTTGATTATTATTATTATTCTGAGCTACTACAGCAATCAATTTCCCTCTGGGATTAATTAAGTATTTTTGAATTGAACTGAATTGTATTACAAACAGCGGGGGGGGGGGGGGGGGGGGGGGGGGGGGGTTAGATACACACTCCAGAACCAGATCAGGTTCTGATAGCTGACCTGGACGTCTCTCAAGCATGTCAGAAGTTTGGTTTGCTCCAACCTGAGGTCCAGTACTCTACTCTCAGAACAACGGTAGGATCTCCAAAACAGAACCTGCCTCTGGAAATCCTGACTAGTTGAACCACGAGCAAGCAGGAAATCTTAGTTCCTTTACTTAGTTTTATTTAAAAAGACATCATAAACATAAGGCAAAAATATATATATATTAAAAAAATACTGAGCTTTATGAGACCAAACAACAATCTTCTGAGATCATCTCAGTTTCCAGAACAACTGTGAAATCTGTTATCAGACTTTAGGTGCAGGTCCCAGACTGGAGTTGTGTTCTTATGTGGAACAGTGACTGTGACATTTACACTACTTCTGTTTCTCTGCAGGATGACATCATCGGCACACAATACACAATTAAGAAGAAGTAACCTAAAAGTAGTGGAACTGGTGTCGTTGGATTCTTCTCGTTTTTTCACTAAAGAGGCCACTTGTCTCGGGCTGGACACAGAGCCTTGTGTTTGGTACCTGAAGTTCTTGATGTGGTCCTCCACTCCACTGAGGTGCAGAGTGTGGGTCAGAGCCTGCTGGTAGGTCAGCGCCTGTGTCGACGAACCCCAGTTCACATCTGGAAGGGCAGAACCACACCGGCAAAACACACAGAACCTGTTTACAGACCACGCTGCGGAGTTAAAGGTCATGTGATCCACGCAGAGTCTGAGAAAAGGCTTCCTCTGCATGTGTCAGAGCCCAGAGCTGCAAGGCATGTGTTGCCTTCAGAGCTGCAGCCATTTCTTCTCTTTATTCAAACACAAATTTAAACACATGCAAACTAGAGGCTGGCTGACATGCAGGACTGCTTGTGCTGTTTGGTAAAAACAGAACCGGTGCAGACAGCGTTAGGAGAGGTAAAGCCACGTTTATCACAGAAAGAGATATACATGCATATGAATGTGCATCGTTTGGACTGATACACAAAACAACTTTCCTTTAACTTGACGTTTAAATATGCTTACAAAAGATACAAACACACTTCAAAGAGAATTCCTTCTAAAGCAGATTTACACTTTTAAACCAAATGAAGACGACTGGAGCTAAACTGCCAACTCACCAGGCTTCTTGTGGCTCACGTAGATGTAGAGCGCCATGACGATGACGTTGGTGAGGAGTGCAGCTGCCCAGTTGATCACAAACATCACCCCACAGCACAGTACGGCTCCAGCCAGGGACACCCACATGTTGTAGTACTTAAAACTGGGACGCCAGCCTAGCGCAGCAACACAAATTAGCCATAAAATAACAGGCTTTACAGACCATAAACACACGAATGGCTAGAACGGTACAGCAAATGAATCCTGGTAAAGTGATGAAATGCATGTTTTCTTCAGGGTAAAGACAAGTTGTACAGTTTCAGTACATCGTAAATTAGCGTGGTGTGGAAACCGGTTAAAGAGCATGGACAATGTTAAAGCTGGAGTTGAGCACAAAGTCAGGTTAACAATGGAGGTTAGCGACCTGAACACCAGAGGGTTACAGAAGCTACCAGGGACCAGATTTATAACTAGACTAGAGGGTTTAGTATCTGGTTACACATCTGGCACAAACCACAGGACCTCAACAGTACATCGACTCCAGCTCCTCCCATTCACATGCAGAGTTTAAGGGTCCCAGAGGGATGGCACTAATTGGCCATAAAGAGACCAGAACACCAAACTGGGTTTACAGCTTATGGTTCCAGAGGCAGCAACCCATGAGCTCATCCTACTGTAGCTAATGAGTCATGCACCATTCAGGTCCATATGACCTGCCTGAGACATCAGAGGCAGACAGAACATCAGTACCTGCAGTTCTGCTCAAGTTTTGGTATCGTAGAGACAGAGAGGGAAGAAGAGCACAGAACTATAAATAAACATGTCAGCTATGACATATCCTGTTCATCTCTATGGATAAGAAACATGTTTCATCACATTAAATCAGGGTTTTATGTAAAAAAAAATCATTTTAATCTTCCCTGATGCTGAAAACAAAAACAAATTATTAAACAAATCAGAGAAGATGACTATTATCTCTATTAAATATACATTAGATCCTCAAATCAGTTATGAAAAGTGCATCCATTTGAAGAAAGGATGCTGATCTGTGCATGATTTTAAAGTTTTTATAAACTATAAACTCCAGCAGCTACTCTGGTTCACTAAAATAAGAAACAACAGAAAGCACCATTGTATCCTTCTGTAATCCTCTTGGGCTACTAAGAGCTTGGTTTTCCAGTTCAAAGTGAATCTACCAGATAAGATCCCATAATATGAGACATGACTCAAGTGTTTAGACCACAGGACCCAACAGATTTATGAGAACCGTTACAGCAAAGGGTCGGTGGAGGACACCCCATCAACTAACTACATTAGGTTGTTTAAGAAACACAACTTCCAGATCATTCTGGATTATTTACAGCTCTGATTTCCCAAATTACATATAAAATCTGGGTGGAGGCCAAGGGACATCCTGGTTCCTGTTAATATGAGTCTGAATCTTTATGAATAACAATCGTGATTCAAACGTGAATTGGTTTTTTATGGCACCTCTGCTGAACTGGACCAGCTTTCTTTCCATACTGTGACCTGAGGTGATTTGTTGTAAACTTGTTCTGGTTTTATAAACTCAGAGATTAAGTTCTGAAACAAGGCAACAAGAAGTTCTGGAGTTGTAAAAAACAGTCGTGTGTGTGTGTGTGTGTGTGTGTGTGTGCGCGCGCGTGCGTGCGTGTGTTTTCTCTCTTTCTCAGTCCCCTCTCAGACTTCACACAGTGAGCATAATCATTTCTCAGTCCCGTCTTAAAGGAACACTGAACTACGGTGTGTTCAAGACCTTTAACTGATGAAACCTTTGAAGTGAACTCTAGTTGAGGATCCACTGATAGTCTGAAGGGTTCCATCATGATCACAGTTTAACACATCACGTGAGAGTAGCAGTGTCGGTTAGCTTTAAACATCAGAGCCGTCTCATCACCATCTCAAAATGTCTATTATGGTTTTATATCCATCTCCTTCATGGCTTCTTTTCTCCCGTTTTTGCATCCTGATCTTACCTGGAGAGTTGGCCAGTGACGCGTGGAACACGGAGAAGTTGATGAGGGCGTAGGATGCCAAGAAAAAGTTGGAGATGATTGGTGCAATTGTGTTCAACTCAGCTGCAAGGAAGAGAGATTTTTATTTAAAAACGTAGCGATTTCCACCTGCAGCCAGACATCAGTGAGGTATGGAGGTATGGTTTGATCTGGATCAGCACGCCTTGGTCAGAGGAGAAAATCTTTCCATGCAAGCGAACCATCACACACACACACACACACACACACACACACACACACACACACACACACACACACACACACACACACACACACACACACACACACACACACACACACACACACACACACACACACACACACACACACACACACACACACACACACACACACACACACACACACACACACACACACACACACACACACACACACACACACACACACACACACACACACACACACACACACACACACACACACACACACACACACACACACACACACACACACACACACACACACACACACACACACACACACAGCCAGCCCTTTTACATGAGGTGGGTTTCATTAGGAGACTTCATGTCATACCAAGTTCTGAGGAGCTTAAATTGTTTTACTAATTCTCTTCACACTCTCTAGCCCTCTGCGGGTTGAAACTGCACTGCCAGGCTGCAGCTTGGGTTTTGTCCTGAGCTTGACTTGTTAAAAGTCACCTCTGCTGTTGGATTACGTGAGAGGTGGAGGGATTTTAATCCCCGTGAGGGAATGAGGATCAGAGGGCCAAGGTTTCTGAGTCCCTGCGTCATGGTCACCATAGCATCAGTGCTCCAGTCGCTGGAGGTGGATTTGAACACAAGGTGAAATCTGTGTTTGGGTGTGGAACAGAGCCGTGTGCAGCCGTACCGATGAGGATGAAGGCCAGAGCAATTCCAAAGGTCAGAATGTATCCTCGGATTGGCTCGTTGTTTTTCCCGTAGCCTTTGGCGAATATTCCAATGCCGGGGTAGATGTTGTCTTTACATAAAGCCTGTAGAAAAGGAAGCACCACCTCATTACAACATTTTAAGTGAATAATGAGAGTGCAGCTGAGGTTTTTAAGATCGTTAGTTGAGGCTTACGCCTGGTCCTACCTGGAAAACTTTGGGTGCACTCACTAAAGAGGCTAGAGCCGAGGACAGAGTAGCAGAGAAGATTCCAGCTGAGATGATGGGTGAAAACCCAGAAACCAAGCTCATCACCTAAAGACGGAAAGAAACGTTTGATTCAACAACACGCTTCTTCTCCTTCAACATTCCGGATATTCTCATTTTAATGGAGCCCGCCCACACCTGAAAGTCATTGTGGAGCCCGTAGCGGCAGCCATCTTTGTCATTCTTGCAGGTAGAGAAGTCGTAGAGTAATTCGCAGGCAGCGCCGGTGCAGTTTGCTGGGGAGTGGGCACTGAATGTGTCATTAACGTTTCCACTGGCATCTCTCACGATGCAGGAGCCTGGAGTCAGAAGAACATCAACAACTTCCTCAGAATGACTGAGCTAACCTGAAGAGCTGGAGACAATTTCCCTCTGGGATTAATAAAGTATCTTTGAATTTAATTTAATTGAAGCTCACCTGTAGAGACGGCCACTCCCAGGTAGACAATCCCCGTTATCAATATGGCTAGAAGGGTTCCTTTGGGAATGGCCTTCTGGGGGTCCTGCAGCAGATCATCGTCACAAAAATGTAAGACAGGAAGTATTTTAACAACACCGACTTCGGGAATCAGGCTGTCATGGTCTGATTACTGATGGGTCACAGGGCCAACTCCAGGGGCTTCGTGTACAAAGACCTGTTTAGATGTCCTACTAAGAGAGTCCACACAAACAGATCCAACTATTCATACCAGAGCCTATAGAGCTCCGGGAGTTGACGTCACTTCTCCCGGCATGCAACAGTTCAAATCGAAACGGCGCCATCTTGGCAGGCAGAAGCCGGCAGCTGGGCTCTTTGTTATTGTCAGAAAACTCAGACAGGAAATATGGTAGATTCCTGTTGTGCCCCAGGATGCAGAACAGACACGGACGACATAAGGAATGAGCCATCTACAGGATTCCCCAAGATCCGGAGCGCCGCAAACGTTGGATCATTGTAATAAAACACGCTATTGACCGGGCTGAAATGAAACTGTGGGATCCCGAGAGTACAGGTTTTCACTTATGCAGCGACCGCTTCATATCAGGTACTTAAACCAACGTTTCCTCAACTGTGTATGGTGTTTATTTTAAATGCTTTTATAACGATTCTTAGTGGGCTTCCTAAACTTATTTTGGCGTGGCTTTTTCTGTCTTATTACTCATAGCAACAAGTAAACATCACGTAAAACGTTGCCTCGTGATTTCTGCGTGCTGCCGTTTACGTGTTTTATGATCACAGCAATTAACCGGCTAAGCTGCATTTAATTTTTAAGCAATGGTTGATCAATTGTCAGATCACACATAAAAAGCACTTTGGATTGCTATTATCTGTCTCACCGAGACAGATCTCAGACAGATCCTGAGACGCTCCTGCCTGACATATTTATTTTATTCACGGAAAAAAATCAAACTAGTGATTTCTCTTGGCGTTCCGTTTATACATTCAAACAACACAGCACTCCATTTAAACTACTTATGTGTAAATCTATGTTATTTGTCCGTCCATCCATCCACCCATTCATCCATTTTCATCTGCTTATCCGGAGTCGGGTTACGGGGGCAGTAGCGTCGAGAGGCCCAGACTTCCCTCTCCCCAGCCACTTGGGCCAGCTCCTCTGGGGGAATCCCAAGGGGTTCCCCGGCCAGGTCCGGTAAGAAGTCCGCTCCGACAGCTTCTGGCGTTTTTAAAAAGTATCCCAGGGGCACGGTAAGGGTCGGAGATGTTTAGTCTATTTAATTTCTGACTAAATAAAACGATTTCTTCGGTTTTAAAGTGTGAAGTAAACTCCGACAAAGTAAAATCCAAGCCGATCCCGTTCAATTTGTTTACATTTGTTGTCTGCCAACATGGCGTCTACTCTGAGAGTCACGTGACGTCCGGAGCTCTATCCTTGGAAATGCCTCAGTTTACTAATGCTAAAAGACGCCAGTGTGTCCTGCAGGTGTGATTCGCCTCTCTACGATCAAACATCATGTCTCTATATAGAGTTGCGTATTAATTCATATTTCAGGAATTTATTCCGATTCTCAAGAGTTTGAATCGACAATCACGATCCAGTCCAATTTGATAACTATTAACCCTTCCGGACCAAAATCTATAAGTGGCCATCGGGACTTTTCCTTCCTTCCTATTTTAGCTGTAAAAAGGGCAAATTACATTAAACAACTAAATCAATTTTTGGACTTATGAATCAATTCAAAAGTATATTTGAAATTTTTATAAGTCTGAATTGATTTTTCGATTTTATCAACACCTCTATACGTAAGAAATGGGTCAAACTTTACAGAAACAGAGTTGGAGACACATTTGGGTGAGGTAGGTGACGTGTTCTGTTTGACATGTCATCCTGTGCAACAGTATCAGACCAACATTGAGTTCAGATGTTCTGAACCAGAACATCTGAACTCAATGTTGGTCCTTGAGCTCACTCTGAAATGCTCCTAATGTTAGCAACCGCAGTGAGGTCAGCAGCAAGCACGATTCCATCAGGACTGTCCTTGGAGCCTTAAAAAAAGCCAAGTTGGTCTCAACATCCTCTGGCTCTCTAAAACCAGTCTCTCTTCTCACTGCTGTACCTGTATTGCCCTCTTGTAAGACTAAAGTTATTATCTGCTCCTCTTTGCTTATGCTTTAATATCTACTCATGTCAGACATGATGCGTCTCTGTGCGATCAAGAATTACTTTCACAACCATAATTTACCAGCATGCCCACCAAGTGTCTCCAACAGACCAATGAGTGTAGAAACAAGCGTACACCAGACATGAAGTTGGTGTGAAGCAGACAGCATTTCCATTATCAGTTCCTAAAGTTTTGGAGGGAAAGAGTGATGCTAGGATGTGGTGAGAACAAAAGTTTCATACACGAGCCCCTTGGTCCCTGTTAAGGTAAAAGTGTGTATTTAAATAAGTTGTTGTATTTAAACTTCTGATTGGTCAGGATGGGGAGGACTGACTCACAGCAAGGTCCCCTGAAATGTTGGCACCAGCTAAAATACCGGTGGCTGCAGGAAAGAAGATGGAAAACACAGAGAAGAACGTCTCTCCTCGAAAGTCCGGACCCATATTCTCCCACATGATCCTTCCTGAGACAAAAACAAGAGAGAAAAAAAGTAGCTAACAGTATTGCTAAAGCTAACGCATCCATAACAGCGTGTGTATCAGTGTGTGATCATACCATCATAGCCAAAAAAGCCCATCGATTCCTTTGATTTCATAGAAATGAAGGATCCAATGAAGTAGTTTATGATGGCTGTGACCAAGACAACGAGCAGGAAGATCTGGGCCTGAAAAACACAAACGAGTCCGTTTCTGTCCTAGACTGGATCCAACTCAGGGTCAAAATGTGTGAAATATTTTCTTTCTTTAATGAGAAAAGTTCATCAGGAGTAAAACCAGCATTTCAATCAACTATTGGTGATAAACAACATGCTTCCTAAAGTTCTGGAGGGTTCCATTTTCCTTCATGAGCCTCTGGGTTCAACTGTTACTGGAATTTTAAACATGTTTAAAAATTTAACAAAACCAGGAATTATTGACAGCCTCTCATACAATTTAGGCTTTAAATGAGCAAATACTCTCAGCAGCATGCATCCCCTACTAGTGTCTAACAACAGCAGCCCAGTAGGATGCTGGATTAAGCCCCGCTCAGTCTAGAGAGGATGGCGTTCGCACCTTTGCCTCCCATTCCATTCCTGCCACGGAGATTCCCAGGAGAAGGATCACCGTGATGGTGCCAATGATTCGGACATCGTTGATTTCATCCGTCATGATGGCACCCGCTCCCTGACGAATCAGATCAATTAGCATCAGAATCAGTCAGCTGACCTGTTATCAGCAGTTCATAATGAAAGCAGGCACTCACATTGAGAAGTTCAACAACGGTTTCAGCAAACCCAACCACATACATGGCTACAGCCACCGCATTGGCAAAGGCAAAGATCAGTCCGATGGACCCTCCAAACTCTGGACCCAAACTTCTCGAAATCAAGTAATACGCTCCTCCTGGAAGACAGGAAATCATGTTAGTGATGACTTGTCACATGCTGGGGTGGGCTAGGTTACCCACTCGGAGTTAGGATGATCTCTGTTCTCTAAATTATTGTTTGATAATCCAACCGGTCCACTGGCCTAGATATCAGCTGAAAACGGAGTGTAGTCCTAGTGACCACAGCTGGAGCCCGAGCCATCCCGACGCTGGGCCAAATGAAGCATCAAAAGCTAGCAACAACAACAAAAACAGCCAATCACACACTCCATCAACAAAGTACAACATGTCTCAGAAACTGCTCTGTATCCGAGCTATGAGCATCGGATATCACATTGTACTTTAGCAGGTCTGGGAGAGCTCCATTCTGCCTTCAGCTCGCCGTTATAGAGGTTCCTTTGTGCAGTAGATGCTTCTGTTTGTGCCACACCACTGTGAGAACAGGTGTCCCTATAGGCCTTTATCTAAGGGAGTCAGGTGCTTTGTTCAGAGACCTCAGTGACCTCACGCTGAAGCTCCTCCACAGTCTGACACAGAGATGGTGACTACACACTCATAACCAGATGTTGACCAGCTGATCTTGTTGTTCTTTAAACTAAACCTTAAAATTAAATCAACCACAACATAATCCACACAAACGTTTATGATTACTATAATGAAGAGTTTCTTTGCTTTGATTTAGTCATTTCGTACTTTCTCTCCTTCTGAAAGCTAAACACACGTTCGTCTTGTGTTTTAAAAGTCAGAACTACAGCGAAACACCGGCTGTAGCAAAAAACACATTAATGACTTTTCCAGCCCAACTTGTATGGTCCCTCAGTGATGATGTTCTCAAGTAGAACATCCACGCCTTTATTAACAGAACTCATCGACTAGTTCTGATCACGGTTATGTTTGTCTAAAAAAACTATTCAAGCCTTTTATCCCGGAAGAGAATGAACAAACATTTTAAACAGAAGCTTCTTCACTAAATGAAAGTGGAGTTGGTCACAAATCCAAAGGACTTCATCATGCTAAACATACCCACAGGTAGGTACATACATTTATAAATAAACAATTAAATTACTTCCATGTATACCACTAAGAAGTTCAGAGGAACACCATTAAACCAGGAATGTTTCATCCACTTTGGATAGATGAGCTAACGGCTAGTTTGAGCAGCATCACTAAATGGGTGACTTCCAGGATCACAGCAGTTTATATAAAAGTTATTTTATACGTTAACACCACTGCTCATCTCCGGCTACACTGTTAATGAGGCAGTGTCACAAAGCCACCTGAAGGCCGATTCAGAGAGAATGGATGCCTTTTATAGCCTCTGTCATAAACTAGACTCTTGGTGAAACTTCTCTGTTCAGACATCACCAAATATTAATACAAACCATTCAAATTACAGTTTAATGTGCTACATATTTATACATACTATAAGCCTGGGGCACATTGGCGGCGGATGCGCCACGCCCGAGATTTTGAGAAGTCAAGTGGTAACACCGGATGCACCGCACCGCTGAGCGCTTCTCGAAAAGTCGCGCAATAGTCACATCACGCAGGACTTGAGGAGAAGAAGCCGGAAGTGACTGTATTGTTTATAAGTGATCAGACTTGTCGTCATCGTGTTTTGTGAGACTCAAATTCATTAAAAATGGGTAAGTACGCCATTTATTTGAATATTTTAAGATGTCTGTTGTAAAGTACTCCACAATGTTGTAAACAGCTACTGCGCTTGAGATGGGACTGGCGCCTATCTTCAGTGCCTCCGCGATCCCCGTGTGCCCACTCATTAACTATGGCTTCTATTTAAAATGACGGCACAGGCGCGGGCCCCAGTCGTGCCTGGCGCGGGCCCAGGCGCTGCGCGTACATCTCTGGCGTGCCCCAGGCCCACAAAACCTAAACTATTAAATCTAGATCAAGTTCATCTAAAATCTAAACCACAACACCTAAAACTCATACTAAAATCTCCCTAAACTCTCATCATGGGCTCTCCCCCAGGAACCTTCCAATGGTGTTCAGACCCCTAGGGACGCATTTGTTCCAACACCCTGGCGAGAACACAGAAGACAGTCGTTCATTAACAACTCACTTCCTTCCTAAATCACACACTTTTATTATTCTTTTATTTTTAGCTCAGATCTTACACAGAACATCTGTCTAGTCTTACCCAACAGTAGCTCTTTTTTCACAACATAAATCTTTTTTTCACAGGCAGCTCTCAACAAGTTACCAATAAATACTTAAGACATGAGTGTAAAACTAAAGAGCTAGAAAAACTGGCATTAATTAGTTTTTTAAACTGCTAATAAATGGCCCGCGTCCTCTATGACTTCAAGGCTTTTGGGGTTTTTGCATACAGATTATTCTGGGAAGTGAACAACACAAGCAGATGAAAACAGAACTTTGTGTTTTTAATGCAACTTCCTGCTGTTAGATGTTGTAATGTGATTAAAGCATCAACAGCCTACGGCTACAGGCCCCGCCAGCATCAACTGTAGTGAACTGGAACCACACTGGGTTCTGAATGCCATCGCCTCTAACAGCAGGATCAAAAAGTGGGAAAGTGGTTTATTTCTGCTGCTGTTATCCTCCCACATTAGACGAAAGGTTTTTTATTTACACGTACTGTCTAATAAGATGTAAAACTGTGATCATGAGCTGCCTCAGACCAGTGCTGTGGTGTTCCACACAACCACCACACACTTTGAATGAGAGTGTGAACTGTAGTGGAGGCGCAACACGCTGTTGAGAGAAAACAGACCCGTGAATCATAGCTATGTGTGATTTTCACAGTCGGGTCTGAATGAAGCCGTGAGGAGTGGCGGTGCTGCTGGGACCGGACGGCAATGAAACCAGAAAACTGATCATGTCTGGAAGTACTCAAGTGGTGATCAGTAGAAAAAAGGTGGATATTAAAAGGAACGGCTTATGAGTGATTTGTTTTCTGCCTGAAGCATCCACCACAGGTGAGTGGTTTGTTGCTCTAGTCTTATGTTCAGGAGAAAAAGCTGATCCATACCTCCTCGTACAAACCCATTGGTGGCGATGGCCGAGGTGGAGAGGCCAGTGATGGTTGTCACCACAGTGGCCATGCAGACAATCAAACAGGCATAAGCTGTAAGAAAACAAACAAATTAACGGTGAAACAAGGGTCAGAGCAAAGGTCACAGCTGGAGCCATGGTTGGATGGTTAGAATGATCCTGGGCCAAAACACTGGTGTTGGTCCAGAACTGAAACCAGTGTGAGAATCACAGATGGCCTATGACAAATACCAGCGTGGCCACATTAAAACCTGCCACTGAGTGAAAATATTTCCCCTAGGGTGTTGGGTGATGGTGGTGGGGTGGGGTGGGGTGGTTAAAGAGAGCCAAAGGTGAAGCTGAGGGTAAACAGAAAAGTGTGCCCCTCCGACTGTTCCTTTTGTCAGGTATGTGAATCTGTCTGTTCTAGTAGTAAAGAGGCAACAAACTCAAACGGTGTGAAGTTCAGGACCACACTCTGCTGGACGTCGAACCACCAGTCAGATCCTTGCACCAGTGTCTTCTAAATTAGATTGTAAAATTATCTGAAAATGAGATCAACACTTACCAATTCCAGCCTGTCCAACAATCCACGTCATGCGGATGAAGAGCATCACACCCCAAATGTTCAACATGCAGCGGACCTGTAAAAGCCAAAAGTCTGTTATTGTGAAAGACTTGTTTAAATAGAAAGTCCCACTGGGACAGATCCAGAACTCCATGAAGGGATCCTATGTCCTCTGTGGTATGGAAAGGTCTTGGTATCACAGTGGGGAAGAGGACCAGTGACCTTTAATGCCCAACCTTGGATAGGAGGAAGAAAGGAGAAGAAAAGGGAGGGATGGATGGATGATTGAAGGATAACGGATGGAAGGATGATGAGTGGTTGAGTGACAGACTGATGCGTAGTAAATAGATAATTGTTGAGTAACGTATGACTGATGATATCCATCATCAATCTTCCATCACAGACACGTCGAGGCCGCGTGTAAATGATAAATGACCCGCACTTGTATAGCGCCTCTCAAAGTAAGGACTCCAAAGCGCTTTACACTACAGTGCATCAATCATCCATTCACACACTCATTCACACACTGATGATGATGAGCTGTGATGTAGCCACAGCTGCCCTGGGGCGCACTGTGTAGCAGACTGGATTTTGTCGGTTAGCCAAAGGGCAGCAGCTGTAGCTACATCACTACCAGTAGGTGAATGTGTGTGTGGATGGGTCTTTGGGTGTGTATAAATAGTTATTTCCCACTGATGGATGAATACAAAACAGACGCTTGGCCATATAATTGATGAGAAATTAATGAATAGAACACAGATGAACGATGGAAGTTAAAGAGTCCATCCTGATGATCACTTGAGTCAAAAAAAGATGCAAGAAGAAGAGACTCACCAGAACCCCTTTAATCCAGCCGAACTTGACCACTCCTTTGGGCTCAGCTGCCTCTTTGGCTGCAGCCTCCTCAGCCGGTGTCAGCTCATCCCCGTTAGCGAAGCCATCCTCAAACGGCTCCTAAGGAAACAAAAAAAAGTCACAATTATACCTGGAACAGACCCGGGAGAAGCTACAAGAGTCTGCTGCATGATTTTCAACATTTAGCAGAAGTGCAAAGGGCAGCCTAAAGAATTCAGGTGGAAAAAAAATACTGAACTTCCAAAACATAACAAAATGTGCTTTAAAAGAGTTTGCTTTATACATCGTGAGTTTAAAAAAAAAATCAATCTCTTGTCCACACTGATGATTGGATTAAATCTGACTCCAGAACAGCCTGGTCTTGAGCAGAGACAGCTTGGTGGATGTCCTGGTGGGTTTGAGGGCATGCCGTCCTTCATGCTATCTGGCTGGTGTAAGCCCATCCTCTCAACGTATTTATGAAGCTTCGACTTTCTCTGCCGTCTCCAGTGGTAAAGCAAGTGTGCAGAGACATCCTAGACATTTTAATTCACTATTTTAGCCAAACACTAAAGCCTGGGGCTGGTTGGTATTTCACTTGCTAAAATATCCCAATGAAAACCCAAGGCCTCCTGTACGGTCTCAGGTGTCCATGTCCAGAACAAAAATGTCCTCATATGCGTTTCTACTTGTGCCTGAAAGACACCAGAATAAGATGTAAATGGATACGAGCAGCAACACAACTAGAAGGAGGAGTGGGCACTTTGCTCTTGAGGATAGCCAACAAGTCTGTCTGGGGAAATGGGTTTTAAAGCTTGTTTGCCTTTAACAAAAGTCAACAGTGAAACCCACCCACAGGTAAGACTACACTCTAGGAAGATGACATTAATGCACAGACTTTTTAAGAACTCGTCTATTTCTCTGTACGAGAGTCGGTGTTGTTCCCGTTTAGGATCCTACCAACTGGAGAAATCTGCTTTGGTTATATTTGACCCCAACTCCACTCTGATTCATGTAATCATTAAAGGTAAATTAAATAAGTTAAAGAGTCTTCTTTTAGACCAAAAGTCCATTTCTGCTTTTAATTACTTCACTTTCTTTGGTGCTGAAGTTTTTATTATATGGTAAATGGTAAATGGCCTGTATTTGATATAGCGCCTTCTAGAGTTCTTGAAACCCCCCAAGGCGCTTTACAACACAATCATTCACACACTGGTGGGGATGAGCTACAATGGAGCCACAGCTGCCCTGGGGTGCACTGACAGAGGCGAGGCTGCCGAGCACAGGCGCCACCGGTCCCTCCGACCACCACCAGCAGGCAACGTGGGTTAAGTGTCTTGCCCAAGGACACAACGACAGCGACAGACTGAGCGGGGCTCGAACCTGCGACCTTCCGATTACAGGGCGAGCACTTAACTCCTGTGCCACCGTCGCCCTTTATTTATTTTTTTTTTGTTTTGTGTTTTTTATACCAGTCATATTGTCATGGGAAGATGACTTGGACAATTCATCTTCTATTACTGAATAAGTGGTTTTTAATTTTTTTATATATATATATATGGAAGTATTTAATCTGGTTTTAACACACTTTGCTTTAAAATGATTAAAAAGTCAAACGGGTAAATAAAAACATTAATGATTGTTCTTTAGTCTTCTTAGGGCTCTATAACCCCCCAAGGTGCTTTTCAACACAATCAGTAATTCACCCACACACACACACACACACACACACACACACACACACACACACACACACACACACACACACACACACTTGCACCATACTGCACTCTGACCACTATCAGGCAAGGTGGGTTAAGTGTCTTTCCCAAGGACACAGCAGCATTCTCTGGTCTGAGCCAGGATCCAACCCGCAACCTTCCAATTACTGGACAACCCACTCTACTTCCTGATCTAAAAGGCTAGAAATAACATTTAGGTGCATTGAAATAACCATTTATGTATGTGCTGTTTCATTTAGGTTAGCAGAGCACTGGTGGGCCATCCCAGATTCTGAAAACCAGAAAATCTGCCATCTGACGGTTTTGATTTTTTTTTATTGTGCTCATTTCTTCATGTTGTTATAGTACTTGTGTTTGGCAGTTAGCCCAGAGCGCAACGTTCCTCTAAAATCCATCGAGGTAGGAACAGGGAACTGGATCATTATCAAATTTAGTTTTTTATCCCTGAGCCAGGTCCTTCATGGCCACCTGATGAAAGAGTCTCTCTCCTCTAAAGTGTTTATGATACCAGACTTGGTTGTTAACCGTATAGTTGAGATTTAAAAAAAAATAAACAGCCGCTGCATGCCTGACTGTCACTTTCTGACTTTTTCCTGAAAAAGGGCAACAATATTTATTCTTAAGTTAGGCCACAGAATCTCACTGTCGGCTCAAAGCCATTTAGTGCATGACTCCACTAGCCTGACTGGTAAACTCCACCGGTCTAACTACATGATGCAGCGCAGTGGAAAGAAGAACTATTTTGTTCTAAACAATATTTACAAATTTTTCCTACATTTCTTCAGTAAACCAGGTCCACAATCTATCTTGTATCTTTTATCCATTTTAGGACTAGGGCTGTGCAATTAATCCAGTTAGTTTTATATTTTTAATTTTGGCAACCAAACAATCACAAAGTCATCTAAATATTAATCTAATAGCAGAACAAAGGTGGTTCTTAGGTATGAAACTTGGCCCTGCCCCTTTTGTACCCATGATTCTGCTACCACACCAGGCTCTGCTCCTACTACAAGACTAGGCCCTGCTCCAACCACCAGGCCAGACCCGGGCTCCGGGCTGTGCATCGACCTTTGGGAGTCTACCGCTGGTACATCTTGGTAAAGCATCAGGATAACAACTAAAGGGCGTGCTCCATAAAGAATTTAACAGCTCTTGAGCCAAGGACTTCATTTTCTATCAGGTGGGATTCTGTTTTTTCTGAAATTAGCCACTTTAGCCATCACGCCTCCCAAAAGCATCAATCTGCTGGTGAGGAGCTGGAGGAGATTAAGCTCTCACTGAACTTCCTAACTAAAGAGACATCCAAGATAGTTAAACAGCAAACGGTACTGATGGACTTGGTAAAAGAAGTGAAGGAACTGAAAGCCAACATCATTAAGACAGAATAAAATATCCTGGAAAGGCGGGTGGATGATTTAGAACAATATACAAGAATGGAGGATGTTATTGTGAGTGGGATTGCTTATTACTAGGCACCGATCATACGCTCGAGTGACAGCAAATGCTGAGAACCAGACTGGTGAGACGCTTGAAGAATCAAATACTCCTCAAAACCAAGTGTTAAATTTTTTTCACTCCAAAAATATTAATGTCGATGGTAAGGATATCTCTGCCCGTCATGTGCTGCCTAAGAAAGATAAAAATGCAAAACAGGCCATCGTCATCAGGTTCATGAACAGAAAGTCAAAAATTGACTTATTACAAACAAAAAAAACTTAAAGGATCAGCCGTGTACATAAATGAACACTTGACAAAGAAAAATTCTGAAATAGCAAGGCAAGCAAGGGCTCTCAGGAAACAGGGGAAAATACAGTCCACATGGACAAGGAATTGCAAAGTGTGGATAAAAGTGCTCGTTTAGCCAGAAGACGCTAAAGTGCAACTGAAAGGAGATATTGAGGCACTAGGGAAGTTTAAATGATAAAATTCTCAAACCAAATAGTGACTCATTACATCCTGGTTACTTCTTTTTTGTTATTTTGTCATTTATTCTTGGATGTATATCGACTGTACATCGCATGAATATTTGATATATATCTTTCATCTAAAGACGAAGACTGGATTATGAATACGCTGAATCAAACAGAACTGGAAACATTTGTAATCACTGAGCATCAACAACAAAATAATTTAGATGACATAGACCCTGCCATTAATTACTTTAGTCATGTAAACAGTGTTTTTATTATAGGGAACTACAGCTAAATGAACAAATGAAGACAGATCAATCTTTATCAATAATCCACATTAATAGTAGAGGTCTCTATGCAAACTTGAGCATAAAGGCTTTTCTAAATAAGTTTAAAACTACTTTTAGGATTATAGCCATATCAGAGACATGGATCAATGATGAAAAAGACTCTGATTTAGATGGATATGAGATGTACATTCTGAATAGAAAGTGTAAAAAAGGAGGAGGGGTAGCTCTGTATGTTGACAGAAATTTAAGAAGTAAAATGTTACCAAAAATGACAATGGCACTAGACAAATTAATGGAAAGTTTAACAATTGAGATAATAATGGAAAATCGAGTGAATATACTAGTCAGCTGTATATACAGAGCCCCGAGATCGGATATGGATAAGTTTAAAACCTGTATAGAGAAAATGTACACAAAAATTGGCCAAAAGGACATTTTCATCTGTGGGGACTTTAAACATTGATCTCATGAAGTCAAAACTACATAAACATACTGAAGATTTCTTAGACTTGATGTATAGCTTTTCCCTGTTCCCAAAGATCACAAGACCAACGAGAATTACAACACAATGTGTAACCTTGATTGACAATATTTTTACAAACTGTGTTGAAAAAAATATGGCAGGTGGCATACTAATAAATGATATTAGTGACCACTTACCTATATTTGTATATTTTCACATCAGCAATGGAATTAAAGAAAGTAGGTGTCAAAGGAACTCAGGGAAAGAGATCTATAAGAGATTACGAACAAACGATTTAATTGCTGCATTTAAAGAGGAATTGATGTCCCAAGACTGGGATGTAGTCTATAGGGAAGATGACGTTGACATGGCATATCAGGGTTTCCCTTACATAGGTGTAGCCGTGGCGGCCCGTCACGGCTGAAATCCAACCGCCGCACCTACAAGATCACAAGTTTTTTTTTTGTTTTTGTTGGCGCTGTTTCCCGAAGAAGCAGCGGGAACTACTATGTTGTTGCTTGTGATCACAGCCGGCAGGCAGCAAGGAGAAGCAGGCAGGGCAGGGTGAAGTTACAGCATAAGTTACGGAGTTTAAAATTAGAAAGGTAGCAGTGGATATGATGCTTTTTGGTTTACATGTTTCAATAGCGTTGAGATAAACGAGTGTTGACGATCTTGACGGGTTTCCTCCAGTGCTTATTAGGCCAGGTTCTCC